CCTGTAGAGCCCTGTATCTTCCAGCATTTAAGTTCACCATAAAGCAACACTAACATAGTTGGCCAAACGTGTTTCTTGTTCTGTTTGCCTCCCAAGCTACTGAAAGTGAAGCATCCAAACAGCTGGTCTGGGTTTGCCTAAATTGCCTAGAAGTCTGATATCACAGAGTTCCTTTATTATTTGCCTCTGTAGATACTCAGAAATCACCTACCTGAATTTATGATTTTTTTTTTCATTTAAAGAATATCGTATGTGTTGTACTTTGTTAGAGTTTTGCAAGCACTTAAACTTGGAAAAAAAAAGTCTGAGTTTTGGAAAAAACACTGAATGGTGTTTGGTCTGGAACTAATATAAAAGCAAAAAGTTGTTTAGCTAAAAGCTAAACAAACTATCAGACTAAAACAAACGCTGTAACCTCTAATCATCTCCTGATCTTTGTCACAGTAACAAAGGTTAATACTTACCCCGTATGACAAAGATCATTATCTGACGTCCTCAGTGGTTCCTCTCACAAAAGGGACTTACCAGGACACACTGCATTAATCGCTAGGATTATCTTAATATTTATAAAGTTCCTCTACAACTCTCCCTTCTCTGTGCACAGGCAGTCACATTCGCAGTTAACAGCCTTGGACCTGGAGGCTGTGGAGTCCTTGTGGTGGCAAAGTGTTTGGCTGTTGCAGGCTGTGAAGTGCAGCACAAACACCTTCTATGTGCCTCTGCCAAAAGCTCGTGTAAAGTGCCCGACCTGAAACTCAGGCACCCTTATCTCTGCTCTGTGCACAGTAAGGGAAAACTGAGAAAAAAACATTCTGAAAATGTGCCCTTATAGGCACTGCCCTCCCAGCTTTGTAACATGGTCCCTCCTGTTGGTATGAAGCGTTAGGAGCATAAAAAGCACTACAAAAACACACCAAATTGCGAAGCTCTGTTGTCCAGTGCTCAGAGTTTCAAAGATGTATCCACATCTCAGAGTTGCTCGGAAAGCATGTTTTCCCCTGAAAAGCACAGAATTTCATTCACTCTCCCAACAGGTGTAGAAAGGTGAAAAAATTAATAGATTATTCCTGTTTTATAATAATGCCTATCTTGCTCAGCTGAAACATATTTTAAACTGATCATTAACGCACAAACAGTAAAATAAAGAAAAAATGATGACGAATCTGAATATTCTCTTTTTAAACATGTTTTCCTTTCACTCGGCTATCTATGAGTAAACTGGACATATGACATCTAGCTGCAAGTACTTAAAACATCCAATATAGCACTCTCAAGAACAAACATAGATAAGACTTTTATGTAATTAAAAGTCAGATATTTAAACTACCTGAAGATCAAGAAGGTTAAGTGAACACAAAGCACTCTGATGAAAAAACCCTTCTTTTGTATGAGTCTCAACGCAAAGCTTGTAAAGGATTTTTTTTCTTTTTTTCTTTTTTTTTTTTGTAGAAACAACTTATTGTTATTCTTTTCTTGAGTTAGAAATTAATAATCCAGTTTGCAAAATTCAGTAGCTTCACCTGAGATGCAAGCAGCTTTTTAGATTAGTATTACCTTCCTCTTCTTTCTACAAGAGGAGAAGCATTCATGTGTTTCTCCATATTTCAATTGTTTGTCTTGAGAGTAGAAACCCAAATATTGCGGAAGATAGTGCCATAGGGAAAAGTTGATGAAGCTAAACCTACTCAGGCATCTTCTATTAGCAGGCATACTTTTTTTCAAATATTTGAAACATACCAGTACAAACGGTTTTTGTCAGTATTTTCCTGAATACTGGTGACACAAATTCACAAACTAACACATAAATCTGCAATTTTGCTATCCTTTGGAATAAATTGAATCAAGATCTACATAGTTGTGGAGGAAGATGAGAGTTCTACAAGTCAGAAAGACACAAAAATACCTTGTGTATATATTGTAGGTCTTGAATGCGATAAGGACACAGCTTTCATAGCACTTGTAAAAGAATTTTATCTATTCCTAGTAGTTTCAAAAAGTTTCAAGAAAAAGAGGCGAGGAACACAACCACTCTGCAAAGTCTCTTCAGTTTGGAACAAGGCTTAGTTTGCAAAGCCCTACTAAAGAGAGTCAGTTTTTCCATGTTATTTGCAATTTTCTGTCACTAAACCAAAAACCTCTTTTTGCCACTTAAGAACAACGGACAACTTTATCCATACATACCTACATATATACACACATACATATATACATATATATATGTAGATATTTTCAGGCAAGTCTGTTCAGTGTCCACTTAATGTACATCTTCTTTTTCCTTTGGAAAGAGACTGAATAGGATGAAGGGAAGGTGCTATTCAAACTTCCACCCTTGGATCTTATTTCTGGGTTGGTTTTCTGGAAGCAGCAGTAAATTATATTTTCCAGTTGGAAGAAAGATCCAGCAGGGATTCCCCTTCTGGAAGCACCAAGAAAGCAGTGGTGCCAATGATACCTCCTCAAGCCCAGGAAATGGATATGTGCATATTCCTGAGCCAGCTGTCTTCAGTCCAGGCTCACACTCAAGAAAAGGTGACAGTCTCTTTTTATGAATATTGTTCTAAGAAAACATCAAATTTAAATGGTTTGATCCCGTAAGATTCCAGGCCCCTCAGCTCTAGGCCTGTCAAGTCCCATATTAATTCAGTCACATGAAAAATCAATACCTATGCAAAACTGGAAAACTTGCCAGAATCAGGGCCAGAGTGCTTGGCGTTTTGCAGGACTAACCCCAGTGATATAAAAGTGACACTGAATACTTCGCAACAAAGAAACCCAAATATCCTAAGTTTGCACGTGTTTTTATGAAGTGGCATGGGTCACAGCTAAACGGCTGCATGCCTCACTCTCTCAACCCTTCCTGTCATATCCCATGCCTTAAAAACCTTTTAAACACTCTGGACTGTAACTGTTCATACCACCCCTTATTCCTTCATATCACCTCTTCTTCCTCATTCCTAGATGGTTCAATATTTGGTCACATGGATTTGCTAAGGGTTGGGGAATGAAGACAAGAAAATCTTAAAATCCAAAAAATCACCTTCTAGAAATGGCTTTAAGTTCCACACATAGAGTAATGCCATTAATTGTTATTAAGTAACGAAACAGTAAATTGATCTTTCACAACAGAACGAGCATTGTTAGCATAGCAATGTGAAGTAGACAAAAACACACCTACAACTTTTTTCTTCATCACTGACGATTTTGTATTTATTCATTAAGATTCTCCATTTAGACATAACAGCAGTAATAAAATAACTGTACACTACTTCTGTTACAAATATAGATACTATTTAAATGACTTTACACACTCTAATGTAAGCATTTTTCACTCTAAACCAGGAATAAGTACAGAAGACCAGTTCATCACCAACCGCCTCTTGTAATGGTATCATCTGTTTTCTTTCCTCTTAGCCTATCACACTGTAGCTTCTAGAACAGTTAATGAGACAGGGTTTTTTTAGTTAATACACTTAGATCTAGTTATCACTCTGCTAACACTATTTCACAGACATACCTAATACTGTTTTTATCTGTGACTAAAACAAATGCTAGTCTCCTGGCTTTTCTGTATTCATCTAATACTGACCCAAGCCATTTCCTGCATTTTGAGTTCAGCAATTTATCTTAAGTGATAGTTGATGCATTGGCCTTCTTGCTACAGTGTTTTTGCTAATCAACACAAAGGGTCTTGATGTTACAAAGACATACACAGCATGCTAATTAGCCTTTCTCCCTCAAGAGATTTAACTAAATGTTTCTTGTAGGAAGGCAAATTGTAGCCAAAGTGTGCATTATCTGCCAGATTCCTAAAAGATGAAGAGCTTGTTGGCAAAACAGGAGGGTTCAGTGAATGAGATTTGGGAAAAATGTTCTAACAAGGAGATATGGGAAGCCTTAGGAAGCTGAGGATGTTGATTCATGTATTGACCACAGTGCTGAAGAAAAACCCCATAACTGCATTTTACTGGCTTATGTATCTATGCGTGACAAACTGATAATCCCCAAATAACTCTGTGGCCCTCGACCTTCCTGTTCAGCTTGGTGGTGATGCAGGAAGACCTTCCTCTGCTGTCTCTTGCTCACCATTCCTCTGCTGTGAGAGCCTCCAGCTCTCTGCCCATCTCCCTCCTCGTCCAGGATGGCTCTAGCTTTGCTGCTACTTACACCTCCAACACTAACTTCTTCCACCTTAGTTCAGGGAATACCTGCCAGGCTCTCAGAGCACCAAGTAAATCTGCCTTGAGTGGTTTGACCATGGCTCTTCTTCAAGCAGCTCCTAGAAACTTCAGTGCTAAGACTGAATTTATCTTGTATGTTGGAAAAGGACAGCCTTTACTTGCACACATTTCATATTGGGAAGGTTACTTGCAGACTCACATAGACTAGAAGATACTACTATGATAAAAAAAAAATCTAAGTCCATCTAATACTGCAGTTGGTGGGCACTCTCATTCACCAGAGAAAGATTCTATTGGTAAACAGATTTTTCAATCCTGAACACAATTTCCTTTCCCATGAAAAACCTCCTCTCTCCCAGTTTAATCCCCCTTCTTCAAAAGAAAAAGAAAAAAAAAAGTTAAACTAAAACATAGCTTCCTCTTTTTGGGTATTCTATGACTTACAAAACTTAAAAACAACACAAAACAAAACAAAACCATGAAAAAAAAACAAGTTTTCCTCCCAGCTCCTTGCACTTGGGCATTGTGAAATAATGCAAATCACCTAAATTATTGAATCATCTGCCTCCACATTACCTGCTTTCCCTCTCCTCCAAAACTTACATATTTTGTCAATACTTTCTTTCTCCAATAACCTTACACTTTCTTTTGTTCTTGCTCTTGCCATTTCCTTGTTGACTTGATTACTTTATTTCATCCAACATTTTCACTATATATTTCAAATATTCAAAGCCTCCAAGAAAAACATTTCAGTCTGTCTGTATGGTTATTAAACCAAAAAAAAAAAATACATTTTTTTTGTTCGTTTGTTTGCTGGGTCATAAGTCATCATCATAATACTACTAGAAAAAAATATCCCCATCTTTACCATACATGTGACATAATCTCATCCCAGTGCTTTGACAGTAAGACAAATACTTCTACTACATACAAAAATACGATTAAATGTTATTTTTCTTCGATGAAGTAACATGGTCATGTGAAGCTGGAAGAACAAAAAGACTATATAAACATTTCCATTCTCTTTGCTATGTGGAATGTAAATAGTAAGATCTTGTTGACCCTACTACCCTGGGCAGCTGATTCACGACAAAACAGTCAGAGTGACTGTTCCTTTTGTCCTTTTTAAAATAGCAACTGCTTCCTCATGGGTCACCCCTTCTAAACTCTGCCCATTCACAGCAATTATTTGATCCCCCCTCTTCAGGCGTCCGTCTTCTGCCGCTGCACCCTGCAATGATACAACACAAAATTGCAGACTCATGCATCTTATTGTCATATAAGACAGATTCAGTGCCCTTAAACCTTGCTGTTCTCTGTGGTCCTGTGTTATTCTCAACAGTCAACAGCAGAGCAGTCTATGAGCTCTGCAGTATGCCCTGCCTTCTCTAAATGGAATCTCATCTAGACGTTCTACCTATAGGGCTTTTACAGTCCTCAACTCTCCTGTTCTAACTAGCATAAAACTTTTAAGATCAGGAATGACAAAAGTAAGATTTTTCAAGCCCTGAAAAAGTTTTCAGCAATGGGTATTAGAAATTTGGTAATCAAATCCAGACCTGTTACTTTGACTTACATGAAAGTCTAGAGCTGGCTCAGGACTTTTTCCTAGGCAGCCCAAGCTGTTGAATCCAAGGCAAGACCCGAACTTCCCCAAAAGTCAGGACCAAGTTTTCTTATTTTGTATTGATCTATATTTCAGATCCTCAGTCAAAATAAATAAAACGGTCCCATCCACTTCTCAAAGACCATATATCCCCAGGACAAGGTGGGTGCCTAATTTCCAAATCATGTGTATAGACCCGGTTTTTGATAGTTGAAACAGACTCTGTCACACACAATGTAGACATTGTGAGTCTTTCTCCAACTACAACCTTCAAATGGTGAAAACACATTTTGAGCAGTACGTGCATCAGCAGCAGAAAGCAATTAGAAACTGTTAACAGTGCTCTGGCTTCAGACTCGGGCCGTGCTTAGGCCACGCTGCTGAAGATTAACTAAAAAATGTCTTGATTGAACAAATTTATACTCTGTCATTTACCTTTGCAAATACTGTCTTCACATAAATAGGCAAATCTCCATGGGGACTGCCATATCCCCCCACAATACTAAAGCCTAGGCCATCTGGTCCTCGATCCAGTGTAATAGTCTTGTACTGAGGAGGTCTGAAAAAAAGAATAAACGGTATTTCTACATTCTCTTATTTTAAGTTTTAGTATGTAAAATATTCAATACAAAACATCTTTCCTTTCAAGCTAAGCAATGCATTTTGCTCTCCACTGTGACTATAAATGTCTTAATCACATTGTTATGGACATTTTAAGTCACGTAAAACAACAATTCTGTTTAAAACCCTCCATTGGCTAGCTATTTCACACATTCCTTTCATGTCTTTTCCATGCAGCTCAAAGCACAGTTAGTGCTGGCATGTTCCTTTAGCAGTGCTTACTGCTTGCCTACAGTGCTTACCACCGGTATCCCAAACCCCAAAGGACAAAAGATCCAACTCATAATAAACAATTACTTTAAAAATCCTGTAACACTTGCTAAAAAAAAAACCCTGAAAATTGCCAAGGTAGTCATTTTGCAGGCTTTAAGTGCTCCTCTCCTCCGAAATATGATTGTATATATAGGCATAGTATATTTCCATATATGTATGCTGTCTGTAAGAACTTCTTAAAATTCTGCTTTCTAAAGCAACTAAAGAACCCCATTCTCTTTTTCCCTGTTCCCTGAAGAAAAAACGCTGCAATTTATCACAGAGTTTGAGACAAAATTTGCTCAGCAACAGCTAGAGCTCTACCTTGCAGTATTATGGAACATATTAGTTCGGAGCTACAGGTTTTTGATGGTCTGATGCTAGGAAGCACAGCATGGCAACACATGTAACACTCTGGACAGGACTTTAATATTAAAGTCTGAGACGAAACGTTTTGGGTGAATCACCTAATCTCAGTTACGAACAGCACAAGGAGAGGCTGTATTCACAGTGAAGAAATCAAATCACACTGTAATTCTACAGAAGGGGGAAAAAAGGCAGCACAGTGAATTTTATCAGGAAAATATGCAAAAGTGGGTATGTGGCCTGTAGGTACCATATATACCAAGCATGTTAGCCATGACTACGTTAAACAATTCATTCATATTTTTTAGAATTTGCAAGCATTTTAGAAAATATCCCACTTAAAATAAGAGGCAACAAGAGTTGTATATTATATAATGACTCACCCTAAATCATCCTGAAAAATGCTGGTTGAAGTTAGCCCTGTAAATGACAGATTGGGTGTAGGTGGATCCTGCTGCTGACCAGTTATGACACTCACATCTCCTCCAGCTACAACCTAAGAACAGAGTTTGTATGCCAGTAAAATGATAATGCTGACCCTTAAACAACTCATTGTGTCAGGTAACAAAATGGCTTTCAGAAAATTAGTTATCATAGCTTGCCACATTTCTTACATAGAAAAGGCAATTTGCCAAAATTCCAAGGAAAAGAAGTTGGGCATTGGGATCCCACTGCCTCTTCCACTTTCCTTGCAATATTCTTTTCACAAAGAATATTCCAAACATCACAGAATTTTTACCTGCAGCTCGACAGTGCCTGAAGCACTCTTCAAGAGACTAACAGCTTGGGAGTGAGTCATGCCCTCGGTAGATGTTCCACAGATGCTAACAATCCTGTCTCCAACCTGAAAAAGCACAAAAGAAAAGGTAGGATATCTGGTTATCATTAAAAAGTTCAGTTACATAGACTTAACTATAACTTTTCTTTTTTTTCCAACAACACCAGATCTCAACATCTGGATTTAACTAGTTTTTGAGGTTTATTTTCAGCAATGCAGGATATAAAAGAAATTATCATCCGTATACAGTATATTTTCTCTGTAAGGCCCAAAGTGAACCAGAAGATGAGCTAATACAGAGGCAGGAAACTTCATGTCACAAGTCCAGTGTGACATCCACTCCAATGCACCTTATTCTTTGCCGTGTAAGAAAATAATGATTCCTTAAAGAATCAATCCTAATATTTGAGCACCGCAGAGTACAAGATATACAGGCTGATGTAGTAGATTCACATCAGAGACTATATGTTCAAACTCATTTTGAAATAATCCTTCCATCTTCCCAAAATTCAACAGTGAAAAGGTAAATCAAATACTGGGATAGGCTAAATATAGTATACATGTATCTGCGATATTAAAGAAAGCAGCAATTCACTTTCCATTTTTTAATTCTGTCCTAAAACAGTCATGCATGGAAAACATGGGATATAAAACAGACTGAATAAGTGTGGTTGCAGGAGTGACCACCACACTAAGCATCATAGCTGATTTACAGAACCTTGTTCTGAATCAAGCTCCCCACACCAAGTTCTCTACTTGCTCTGTGATACAAGACTGGTTTAGTACTTCTTTCTCATGCTAATACCTTTTACAAATTACCCTTTAGTATGTCACAAACTGAGTTACTGTACTGTCAATCTAAACAGCAACGATTGTTCTTATATGCAGAAGCACTCACAGCTATACCGTATTTTGGCAATTTTGTGCCTTTCCAATGCAATCTTAACCAAGTGTTTAACAATTAACTTACTCTGAGTTTCTGAGTCTGAGCTGCAAGTCCGTTTGGATGCATCATGGCTATAAAAATAGGAACATCTCCAAGAGGACTTCCTACCCCTCCAGCAATACTTACTCCTAATGAATCTGCAGGGCCCTGTTAAAGTCATGAAAAATAATTAGATCTTTCTGGAAAGAAAATGGTATGAGCAGAATTTGTAGGCTCAACTCGGAAAAATTTCAAGTTCCCTATCTTAAGAAAATCAGAATGCTATTTCTCAAACTACATTTTAAATTATGGATTTTGCCTCCTATTGGGAAAGCACAAAGAGCACAATATATGCATATTTTTTCCTATCAGCTACAGGTGAAAATTTGCAAGCACACCTGGCTGGCTTACAATATTGGATACTTACAGAAGTCAGATCCATATCTCTAAAGTATGGAGGATATAGGCAACAACAACTGGACAGATGGGATTACATGATCTTTAATAACAATCTCCTGCTAAGAACCACCTGAAAATTAGAACTAATCTTTATGCTCCCCCTAGTGTCTCACTGTTGAAGAACAAAAAACAGCCATTATTTCACTACAGTACATTACCTCACTAAGCTATGAACAAAAGTCACCATCATAAAGAGGCATTTGTAAATTCTACTTTGAGAAGAGACTATCTAAATACAAGCTACGTAATCTGAGAAATTGGCTGACATATAAAGTCAAACAAATTAATATATTTTGGTCAATCAGAAACAGTCACTGACTTAGATCTTCTAATCCTGAAAATGAGTAAGCAATTTGAATTTCACTGTTTAAAATCTGCTGAGAATAAAATCCTCCCCTAATACAACATTTTTTTTTGTATCAGCAGTGCAGAGAAAGCCCAGCTCTTGCATATGTACCTAAAGGGTATGCAATCAGAAAAATATAAAATTTAAACAATGGGCTTACAATTTTAATAAGAGTTCCCAGGCTTCACTAAAACTGATTTTGGTTTCAACAGAATCTTATAACAGGTCACATGTGTTTAACACAACAACACAGACATTGGAAGTCACACACTTTTGACTTGAAAAAGTCAAAAAAGGTGAGATTTCTACTTTTATGTAAACATAGCTATTGACCATTCGTACTGAATATGTTCATGATACATATCATTTTATATTTTGGCTTACCTTTTTTATTTCAACTGTTCTTAATCCTTGTATTTCAGAAGTTGCTGTAAAATAAATTCCAAAAAGATAAGTTAAACTAGTATTTTAGAGATGCTTTTCCACTAAAGTCATCCAAACCACTATCACGAGTCTAACTTTTTGCTAGTTTATTACAGAAATTTGTATATGTTTTAAACAGATTTTGTAAGTAGCTGTCATTACAATAACAGAACTGAAATACTTCTAGGAAGGATAACAAAGGTCATTCATTCATCCTCTCAATTGAAATAACTTGAAAAAGACTGCCAAGAATGCTCAAATAAAATAGAAAAACTATTGCAAGCAATACTTGGGCTGGTAGTAACTTTGTTTTAAATCTAGGCACAAGAAAACTATCCCACATCTATTACAATGTCGTTATCTATCTTAATAACTATACTGTACCAACAACTGGCCACCGATCTTCATGCATGACATAGATTAACTATAAAATTCTTGTTCAATTTATATTCTCACCATCTAAACTGCTGGTATGAGAACCTGCTAGTTTCTTTTCTACAAGGCTATTTAGAGGTAAATAATACATACTGTACAATAACTATCCCCCTAACATTTTAATTACTTTCAGGCCCACCATGCACAATGACAATGTTTCAGACAAAACAAAGGGTTTCAGCTCACAATTCACAGTTAATAAATAGGGAAATAAGCAGAAGAGCCTTACTGGTATTCTTTCTTTGACCACTTTCAAAGACCTCGGGTGCGCTGGAACCAGAAACTGGGAAACTGAATGATGAGAGACTGCCACTTCCTTCACTGACCTAAATACAGTGTTACACTGGGATTAGACAGCAGCCTCACGCTCCCGATTTGCTAGAAAGTAAAAGTATAATCTCCCATATTCAGTTACTTTACTACTACTTCTGTTCCCAACTAAAGATGATACACTAAATTTCCACACATTTTCAGGGCATTTGATATAGCTCTTTGTTTAAAACATGTTATTAGAGCAGCAGAGGCTGGATGGCTAAATCCCTGCACGTGGCTTTAAGTTCTGCTGCTGATGGTCAAGTTGTGATCCTAATTTTGCACTTGCTATCTCTTCATAAGGACTTTCTGGCACAAACCTCAGCCACAATTAGCAAGGTAGATGCAGACAAATAAAACATTTATGTGTTCTTATGTGTACTCCTGGATTCACCCAGGCACTCCATCAGCTGGAACTACTAGATTTCCATTGAGCTACATGTGCACAGATCCCAGAAAGACTTTTGCTGCACTCATGCATTGATGTAAAGAAACAAAGTGGCTCATGCTGTGCCAGATTCACTGATGGTGGCATGGACTCTTCAAAACATTCATCGCTGTGAGCTTCTTCTAACTCAACAAAGTAGATTAAGACTTCACATAGCCTACCTGCTTTCATCTTGCTGGGCATTACCCTTTTTGAAAAGAAGCCAGTGTTTCAGCCCTTACTCAGTCTTGGCGTGTTTAACTTACTTAAAACTTCAGAACGAAAAGGTTAATTAAGACTATCTTCACTCCTCTATGATCCGCACGCACAGTTTAAAACTAGAAGTATTCTAAGGTGAGCAGTGAGTTCTTCAGAAATACAGCTCCTACCAGCAACCCTCAAACTTGCTTTATATGAGATCTACAATGTGAGCTGCTATGGCATCAAGGACACGGTTGCATGCAGAAATTGGCGGAAGTTTGTAATAAAAATTGTCTAATTACAATCCAACTGTCTAATAACAATTAAGACCAACATACTTCAAGCTTACTGCAGAAGCCTGATAAACGGGTGCGAGTTTGCTGCTTTTTGTGACCAAGCCTATGATAAGAATACGAAAGGAGGGGAGAAGTTCACTGCGTTTCCAGAAACAATTTTCCCTTACAGCAGAGGCACAAGCAGAGGCACAGCAGAGTAACAAAAACGCTTAAAGCCCACTCCAAGTTCTGCTGATATCCATGAGAACCAGAGCTCTCTCTGCTTCCCAGGATGCAGCCCTAAAAACATATTAGGCAATGCAGCAAAGTCGCTTCTGGAAAAAATTTTTGGCTGGATCATGTCTTTAACAGATACAACATGTGAAAACGAACATATAAAATGGTTACCAGAAAGCTGTGAAGTACATAAAAGCTCCTACATTTATTCACCTTGGATCTAGTATGTGGAAAATCACTGTCATCATAAAATCAGTTCTTTTTATTTTTCTTTCATTATTTAACCACATTAAATTTCTTCCAAACTAAACAGTTTTACAGTTACAAACCTGGCTGCTCTGGGATGTTCTCCTCTCAGAATGGAATGGACCAGCTTTTATTCTTCCGACCTCTAGTCTTACTGTACCTAATGAACACTAAAGAACCAATAATTTATAATGTGTCTCTTCTAACTTCAAGAATCCCATTAAAACATATTTCAATACTTAAGTCACTTATTAAATGATGGAAAAAAAATAAAGGGAAAAAATACAGTCTAACATATCTGCAATAAGCCCTGAATTCATGGCAGGATGCCCTACCAGCTAGGTATGGCAAAATAGTCAATAAAGAGGAGGAAATATTTTGCATTAAGCAATATGAGTGCAGTCATGAAAATTATGTAGGAACCTCATTCTGTTAACTCTTCAAATAAATTGGAGAAGTATTGATATCTAAAGTGTAATATATTTTCAAGATATTATTTTTTGAAAATGAATAGAAGTGGAGCATTTTCACGGCAATCACTTAAAACAGTACAAAATCTCCAATTATCAATCATTACTTCTGTTTATGCAGCAGGAACATGTTATTTAAACTAGTAGTTAGCCATCTTGTTCCTGCTGTTGAAACTACCATATTCTGAGTAGGAGGTTTTCCAAAAATTCGTATGTGACTTAATAGTCCTTCTTACACCTGATTCCCAACAGGAAGTTAGGTAAGGTGGCACACTGAGAGATCCTTCCATTACTCTTTGGAGGTTCTAATAATAGGTATAACTGTAAAGATCTACATGGATGCGTGATGCATGGACGCGTATCTCAGAAGAAAATTCACCATAGAATCACGGTATTTAGAAACCAAGAAATCAGGTTGATTTTGGAAGCAGACAGATATAAAATTATCACCAACAACATTTAAAAATCTGGACTTCAGAAATAATTCAAGTAGTCAGAAGAGTGAAAACAACAATATCTATCTGCAGGGTATTCAAATGCAGAAATTTCAATATATTATTACAATTTAGCTTTCTTTTTTCCTTCCACTGGGAAGTTATTAATATGGACTCCCTTACCCATGCAGCCAAACAAATTAATATTACAGTCTGTATTTATATATCATGCTTTAGCTGTATTATACCAAGGACTTGATGTTTTTGCCAGAGAATTCACAGTAAGAAACAGACTAGTGTATCAAAATTGACAATAGGATATAACCATTCAAACAAACTTTCTATACCATATAACTAGCATAAATAGTTATTGTTCTCTTAGGGGTGACACAAATCAGAGATTTATTACATATTGTTCTTTATAAGTAATGTTGACTTCTTCTATATTCTGTGATTGACATGATCAAGGTTCTCACAAAAGCAGTCTTTCCTACTACTATGCACTGCTTTATATCAGACCATATGGACCTTTCTTGTCCAAAATGGAAAGTTCATGAAGCAGTGTATGTACCTACAATTACCACATTCTCACATAAAATGCAAACCCACAAATGAAATTTAAAATTTATTATGTGTGAAACCAGGAGGTAATACTTTCCAGCCTAACTTGTGAATAAACCAGTTCACATTCAGTTTTATTAGGACTTCCTTTCTCTTCCCCAAATCTCGCATTTGATAAATCACCAAGTCAAATGAGGGAAAAGAATCATCAGCTTTTCACATTGTATGATGTTTAAAAATGAAAAAAAAATTCAAGAACAGGAAGTGTTTTAAGCCTGAAATCACACTCAGGTGGACTGATTATAACTAAAATACATTTGGATGTTCAAAAGACTCTGGGTAACTTTCCAACAACATTCATTTCAGATTTCTAACACAATATATTTCAAGCAATTCAAGACAAAACTCTCCTAAGATCATGCGGGTGAAAACAGAACAGATTCCTGAATTAAAAAAGGTGACTGTCTACATGTGAGAGATACTTTACTCCATTTATACTATATTATGAACTAAATAGAACCTTTAACAACAATATATTAAAGTATTAAAGGCCGGGTTTTTTTTCCTCACAACTAGGACAATTAATTACAAGCACCGAGCAAGATGATTTATTAAAAACTTTAAGAGATGAAAGATAAATGGTAGCTAAAAGCATTCATTTAGATACTCCAAAACCCTCACAAAATGATAACAATGAGAGAAGTTTTCCAAATAAAATTGAACTTAATTAAGAAAAGATCTAAAAGCACAGCATATGAAGAAACATGTCCTTAGTTGTATAATTAAAGTATCAGACAAAAATGGAAAAGTACTATTGCCCCAGTAGAGTATGTTAATGAATTCACTATCCGAATACACATCCAGTTCTGACCTTCTCACTGATGGACACGTGCTAAAAATACAGGAAAAGTGTTCCAAAAAAACAAAATCCTACAGGAACTGTTCAAGACCTGGAAAAATCTACCTTTTAATGTGAGTTCAAAGAAACCTGACCTCTATGCATCCAAGAGTCAGCTATGAGTGTCTGTTAATATTCTTCCAGTAGTACAATTTTCCATCAGAAAATGCTGACTTGATGGAATCTTAACATGCAGCAGGAAAAAAAAAATGTCTCAAAGACCTGGATGGAAAACAGACAAACTGGCTGACCAGTTGGACTTCCTGCCAGACCACAGGAAATTCTGTATTTCTGACTTCATTCAGCCTTGCAAATAAGGTGAGGAGATCAGAAACTCAAAATTCCTTGTGAACAGAAAGGACCGCTGCAGATCTGAGGTTACTTCAGTTATCTTTGTGGAAAAGTGATTTCTGACATTAAATTACTAGTTCACTGGAAAAGGCATTACAGAATTTAATGGATGCAGGGTAACGAGACATACATGAAAGAAATTACATGTACATTAATCACTGTGAAATATCACTTGCTCGGTGGGACAAGAAATCTGGAGAGTTCTTCATCATTTAAGTCAATTCTAAACATCTTTCTGAAGATATGAAACATCCAGTTAAAAGCTTGTTAGAGATCTACAGAGCTAGATTTTAGAGTGATCTAGGTAAAAGTCTTCTATAGCCCTCTAATGCCATTACTATTCCCAGTTTCATCAGGAAATATATTAAAATCTGAATGCTTTAACCTTCAGTTCAGAAGCAATAACCCTAAATTTAGAAACAAAGCTCATTCCTACTGTCATCTCAATAACCGCAGGAACACAATAAATTAAACTTAAGTTTTCAGAAACTCTGGATCCCAACTTAATACTTTCATCTACTTTCAGTTTCATTGATACCTTTAGCAAAGCTGCAACAGCCTCCTGGTTAGCATTTCGAACATCTTCTCCATTCACTGTCAATATCTGATCTCCTTGCACCAATCTCCCATCAGTATCTGCTATCCCTCCTTTGACGATGTCTGACACAAAAACCCCTGTATCATTTCTGGAAAAAAAAAAAAAAAAAAAAAAAGATATTCTGCATTTCTGCATTCTAGCAAAGACTGTTTTCATTCTTTGAGTTCTTCAAGCTCCTGCTTGCAACTGAGAACATGATGGCCTCTCATTTTTGTTGCACACTGTTTGGATAGCTCCTGCAGAAAAGGTCAACTATCTTGAGCGAATAAATGATGCTGAGACAGACGTATTGCCTCAAAGCCCAATAGATACTAGCACTGCACCACAATGGACAGTACCAGCATGCCCACCAAGTCCCACACACACCCTACATGCACATTCATACCTCTTCCCAACTATGCTGAGTCCAAGGCCTTTACCAGGCTTCTTCTGCAGCTCTATATTGAGTACATCATACATATCTTCCTCCTTGTACTGGGCCTCATCTCTATATACAGTTAGACGAACTTTTTGTGGTGTCTGTCTGAGGACATTTATCGCTTCATCATGTGTCGCATTCCTGAGGTCAATCCCATTCACCTACAAGGCAATCATACATTGAGAAACTATGCAAGGCTTTCCAACACACAAATGGAAGATGTATAATTAGTTATTGACAATACATAGTGGCCAAAAGAAGAAACTGCACCTCTAATATCTGATCTCCAGCCCATAATCTCCCATCTTTAGATGCTGCTCCTTCTTCATATACTTCATGGATAATGATTGCTCCCTGTCGATAAATAACAAAAACACACTGTGTGATGCAAGAATATCTGCTTTGTGCTCTGCAAGTATAGCATGCCCCTGCTTTATTATAAATGCACTAAAATTAACCAAAAAGTGGCAAACCAAACAGTCAAATGACTGATAACAATATATCAAAATATTTAAGAAGGTCACTTCTAACTTTCAATTAATTTTTTCTGTTTGTTTGTTTGACATTTTCATGTTTTCTTTGTATCTTTCTATAAATGTCACAGGACCAAAGAAAGACAAAATCTTTTCCATCAGATATTTTAACAACATTATGCCATTTCACTTGAGGGACACAGATTTTTTTCCAACTAACCAGCAAAGTGTCTGCTCCTCCAACAATGCTCAGACCAAGACCAGTTCGTCCTTTGGAGATATCAATGGTTGTTTCACATCCAGGGATAATGGGACACGTAGCTGGGTCAGAAGCTAATGTGGCTGGAGTTGAAGATCTGCTTGTGTCTAAAACAGGAATTAAACATTCTTGTTACGGTATGAGGGCTTGACATCAGAAAAGTCACTTTAAAACAGAATATCTGATATGCCACAAATGGATCTTTGGCTTGTTTCTTGGGGCAGTTCTATATATTTAAAAGACAAAAAAAAAAAAAAAAAGAAAGAAAAAAGAGGGAGGGGAGGGAAGGGCAGGCTAGCAATTCTAAAAGGCTTTGAAATTATGTGATTACTAAAACAACAGCTCAGCAATCGAAACACCTGGAATTCTAAGATCATGTTTACCACTGATGTCCTAATTGATTTTAAAAGGAACACCCAGATGAGGCTCTTCCAAAATGTAAAATCAAGCAACTAAACTCATTTTGGGCATTTAAAACAACAGTTCTGGTTAAAAGAAATTGAGAAATTTGGCATTCTACAATATATATAGAAATGTGTATTCTGTAGTATAAATACACATTTATACTGTGCTAAAGAAATACTTCAGATGTAGTGTGAACAATAGATCCTTCTGGAACAGTAAGCTTCAAAACTAGCTAAAGTCTCTGATGGAAACCAGAAGGGTGATGAAAATAATCCAAGGGTAAATCAGTGTGGATTACTGATAGTTCTGCAGCTCCAGTAAGCAAAGTCCCTTTGCGTAAAATGAGAAACTGCTTATGCTTTGGGGAATCAAGTCTAAAGTAAGGCAATTCTGTCCAAAAGAGGTATAACATAAATGAAACACAACCATCACCAACCAAACAGTTGGAAGGGAACCTTCAGATACAAAGTGGCCCTTACCTAATTAGCTGCATCAGTAATATTATATTTGGCCCAAACCAGCTAGCTTTGGTGTTAGCAGCACGAAGTTTAGGTACAGAAATGGAACCAACGAGAAAAAAGAAATTAGTGAGACTTGATGAGAAAAGGTGAGCTAAGAAGAGACAGCTCTTAAGGGAAACAGGAAATATAACAGAATTGTAACTTAGCAGTTCTCATAAAATTTGTGAGACTTTCTTACAGTAATGTAATTGTGTATCAGTGTTATTAATAATAATTCATAACAGACTACTAGTAAGTAGTAATTGTGGTGATATACATGTAAATCATTACTAACTGTGATGTGCTCATTATTCATTTAAGAATAGCTTCTTAGTGCTTTATCAATAACCATGATAACCATTTCAAGTCTTCAGAGGAAGAGCTGGAGCTGGTCAGTATTACATATTACAAGATAGCCCCACTCTTGCTCTAGGAAGAATGACATGACTTTTTTCATCACCGTAAAGGAAATTACTCCCAATTTATCCTAGGCAGTGATGGCATGGGCACTCACTGCATTGATTTTGGAATGGAGGAGGATATTCCTTCACCCTCCCACTTCTGCTAGTCAGTGTGAGCACTAGAGGTTAAATTTTTGTGTGGAGTTTCATTACTTTATTTGGATTGATCTATTTTGCACAAGACATCTGAGTAGGAAGCAAGGAAGTGATTATAAGACGTGTTTTCATTTTTATCGTACAACCCTCACGTGAAGCTGGACACACATGGAGGGAGCTTACTTCTGACGGCCTCTGGTTCTGGTGAGCCCGAGGCAGGGGCAGTTGCTGGCTGCTGGATATTCCTCCTCTCTGCTAGGGCAGAGCTGGCAGGGACCGGGGCTGCAGGTAGGCTTTCCAGCTCTGCTGAGTTGATTGTCAGCTTCACTGTGGGTTTGGATGTCTTCAGGAGACTGATAAACTGAATGGTAAAGAGAACAGATGGTAAAGAGCGTAACTTGAGTGATCAGTTGTAAAACAAAGATCAGGCAGAACAACTTTTCTGGAAAGTGGAGCTAGGATTACAGTCCTGCAACAGTTCTGGGCGATGAACAAGAATGATAAACAGTAATACAGTTAACAGCTGAGGGACAGATCTGGCTAATGTTAATCCAGTAGCTTCCATCAAACTAGGCCACATTGCCCCAGATGAGAGTGCAGAAGTGTTTGGACAGCTTCTCTACACAAAATATTTTCTGTTTTTACAGTAATTAGTAGAAAAATCTAATGATGGGGTGGAGCCCAATTCTGATCCCACTGTAATCAGTGCCAAAACATCTATCAACTTAAATGACATGATATTATGCCATTCAAGCACCTTAATTAAACACAAAGGTGGAAAAACTTGAAAATATTATCTGAATTACTGGAGGGAGAGAGGATGCTGGGCTGTAACACAGAATTGAAACAAACTCACAAAACTGAAAGAAACTCAATATTTGTCTTAGAGGAAAAAAAACTTAAAAATTGCATTGCTGTTACACAGGAAGAAACCAACTATGCCTTTTCTTGAATACATCAGCAGAATTAGAAAACAAGATTTCTTTCTTTTTATCATAAATGAGGCTTTTCAGTTAATCATTCTGTCTTCTAAGCTCTTCCCAGTTCCCTGCAACCAACCTCACTACCCCTTTGACATTTACTGCAGAGAGAGCAGCACTCTTAGGGATCATGATGAATACTCTCCTAACCAGCTTTTAACAAATGGTAAAAGATCTTCTGACATCAAAGATTTATCTCTTTTGGTACCAAGGAGATGCCATAAAAAAGGGTCGTGATTCAGCAACAGTTCATGGCCTTTATGCCACATTTAAGTGTCTCTTGATACATCAAATCTGAATGACAGACACCCATACACTCAAACAAAAAAAAATATTGTAGCACAGAGCAAGGCTATTCATACAGTGAATACAAAAATAGCAGCTGAGCTTTTGATTCAGGCTCTATCTTATTCCCCAATATTTTTTTCTCATACATACAAGCCCATGCATCTTCAGTTCTTTATCTATCTTTGAAAATGCAGTCAGAGTACTGGTATGGAAACCTTAGTCGTGTTTACAGACACAAACATTTCAAGCATTTAGGATTAGTTTCTGAAGAATTCCTGATAGTCCAGAATCACCTTTTCTACTGGATAGCCTACAACAATTTCATCATCCACTGCCAGGATTTGATCCCCAACTTTGATTCGTCCATCCTAGAAACAAAGTAGAAGACAAAAAGTGAACTCTGCATGCTATTCCAAAACTTATTTTTCCTTCCTTAAATGGTCTTTAAATGTTCTCACACCTTTGCTGCTGCACCATGATCTGTCAAGCTCTTAATAACTATTCCATTAACTGTGTCTTCTTCACTAATGGCAATTCCCAATCCTCCTTGATCCTGAGGAAAAAAAAAAAAAAAAGGAGAGAGAAAGAAAAATGCAGATAAGCAGATCTTGCATTTTTGCATTTATCTAAATGTGAGAACACATTCTCTGAAGACCAGAGAGGTTTGATGACATAACAGAAGTATGCATTTTTACACTGCCTCTATCTTTATTCTTGCGAGATATTTTCTTTTTGAAATAGCAAAATTTTCCAACCTTCAATAGCATATTGTCTATCTATACATATATCTGAAATACTTCTAAATTCAAACCCATTTAATTACTTAGGATCCTACATTAACTGTTGGTAATGAACTGTTGCTTCAGTTGGTAATTTATAAATAGGAGGAAGGCATACAGAATATTTGGAAACGGTGGACTGAATAGAATTTCATGACATTGCTTAAACATGTTACTTGAAACTACAAAAGAAGCGGAAAATACAGAGGATGAAAAATGTATGCTCCTATAGAGGATGTAAAAATGTATCATCTTTCTGTAAAATTAGGAAATGGTTGTGGCAGAATAAAATTTCTCTAGAGTATTCACCTAGTAATAAATCATGTAGATCTATAACATCTAGCCCAGGTTAACAAGGAAAGGGTATACGCCTGCCAAGGCTGCAAACTAATGAAGAGTCCTAAAGCTTAGGCACTTCATCCACCGGATACAACTGTCTCCTCCATGCCAACAAGCAGCAGTAGCGATTTTCCTAGCCTCCTTTGGCAGGTTTGTAATTACAGAACACCTGGCCATGTTCTCCAAAATGCATGATTTCTGTTTCCGTATACATGTTAGTTTGGGGGATTCCATTCTCATAATCTGCTAATTAATGTACCTGAAACAACCCAGGTAATTATTTTACCCAAGGCAGTGTCAAGCAGGTGCTAAACCAAAAACGAGGGCGTATGTCACAGCATGAAACCAACCCTAGATATGCGTGGTACACGCTGCCTCACGACACAGCATCCAGTTTTCTCTTGTAGTCAGAATTTCTGATTCAGCTGAAATCCTGCAGCAGGACAGCATGGGGCATGCATAAGCTGGAAGAACTGATCCCTAGAAATCTCTGTTTTGACTTTGACTGAAAGGGACAGAATCTACCTGCCTTAGGAGTGACTCCTTTACAGAGCAACAAGCTGATGGACACAGATGTGGTGGATATAAATTTAGTTTTCAAAATGTACCTTAGGGAGCTCCATGTGCTGAATATTTTTATATGAACTGAAGTCAGCAAAAGTATTGGCATTCGTAGCACTGAGGTCAGTCTGACAGAGAAAGAAAACATAACTGTGAGCAACTATTTTCAAAATTAGAATAGTTTTGCATTGAACTGAAGTAGTGCAGAAACAAACATCCAAAGTGGGTCTGATTGATTGTCTAATGGATCCCTTTAACTGATATAACCCTCTTCATGGGAGTACTAGTTACTGCTCAGTTTACTTGAGCATAAAGTAAAACAGGATTAGGAACAGCATCTGTAACAGCTAAACTAAATTTTTTTTTCTCTTTTCTCTTTCGTTTTCACATTTAGCTTAATATATGAGGCACTAGTAACAATAATGTTCAAAGCTACCTCAAAGTAGAAAAATAAAAATGTGCTTTACCTCTTGGTTTTGAAGCATCCCTGAAGTACAAGGTGAAGACTCTACTGATTTCCCAGGGCAAACAGCCATTTGATTTACTGCATCTTTATTTCTACAATAGATGTAATAGAGAATGTCATAAAGCAGTACCATATTTCTTCAAGAAAGTTTGAGTCTATTTTTTTTTCTCTGACTTATTTCTGACAGTCACAACAAAAACATCAAAAGGGATAACACGGAACATATTTAACAGCTAGTTTTTAGCATGCTAAAAAGCACGCTAGGCACAGTTGACTGACCAAAACCAAAAATAAAGCAGAAATACTCTCTGTGCAAGAATTTCAACATATTAAAAATAAACATTTTTAGCAAAATCTTAAAAAAAACTTACCTGATAAAGATTATTTTTACTTTAGATGGTGCACACTTGATTATTGATGAAGCATTCTGATGAGTCCTTCCAAAGAGTATTTGACCATTTATCTATTTAAAGAAAATAACAATTATGTCTCAGAATATTTCAATTGCCTTAAACTAATGTAAAAGCCATAAAGACACACCATTATTCCACTTCACTTGCTAAAACAGATTTTAAATATTGGATCAAAACTCTGGAATATGTTACATCCTGCTGTTACTCCCTCTCAGACAAACGCTGTCATAGTGCTAAAAATGTCCTCCTTTGGGCTATAGGGGGTTGACTTGGCACATCATCTATTTCCACTTGTCATTGATCACCTCGTGATGGGTATGGGGATAAAGCAGAGTCATGGGAAACTCTATCAATAATAAACGAATTGCCTATATCCAGCAATCAGATTTCTATTATTGTATCTCAACTCTGAGACAGCCACATCTACACACAGGAATCTGAGAGCTGGTTCAGTTACAATCTCAAGATTCAGTGCTACAATCATTGTCTTTACTTGACAGAGCAGACTTTCTGAAACCCTTTTATGCTCATGGGATTCACATATTATTGCAGATATTCATGTTTGTAGAATTAAGCCATAATTTACTCACACTGGAAATATTAATGTGAGTTTGCAGAATCACACCATGATTTACTTATATTTTATTAATTATATTTTTTCTTGCAAAAGCAAAGATGCAGTGGAGAAACCCACTCTAAGAATGGGGAAAGAATTTGCAAAATAGAGCTTTCTCCTAAAAGAAAAAAGTGCAATACAGAGATACTACTAACAGATGCATAGAAACAGCTAACAGGGAGGTTTGTAGGACCAGTAGGCTGGACATAAGAGCAACTCCTAAACTCCCATGCAGGTTATGTCTATCGGGATTTGCTATAGGGATACCTGGGCTTTTCAATCACAGGAAAGGTCACAATCCAGATGCAGTAGTTCTTCTAGTGTTCACCTGTGCTTGTGAAGGGCATGATTAGGAAAAGCAGGTGGTGTGGGACATGGCCCACTACCACTGATGCGATAACGATAAGTTCAGACTCCTCCTCCTTGAAGAGCGCTCAGGTCAAGACGTCTTAGCATCACCTTGCACGGTTATAGTATGGGCAGTAAGCAAGGGACTACTTGACAGTTGGCTATGTGTTTCAGAGAGTTCTGAGGATATTCAGCATCTACCATATTAAAGTTCTTAAAAAAGGGCATTTTAACTGATTCAAGTAGTTTCCTAGTAGGTAATGCTGGATTCTGTAACTTGCCAAGTTCCTCTGTGCAGCTGCGTCCATAGAGCTACAAATTCTTCAGGTTTTCTCCCAGTCTGCACCTGCCAGCCTATTAGGTTGCTCTCCAGGGTTTTCCTCATGCTTTGTGATATCTCACTGTACCATCTCCCCAGTGCATCCTTGCAAACTTCTAAATACAGTTTTGAAGTTACATGGAGTATCTATGTGTGAGTTACATGCTACCTACTGCTCTGGAGAGAGTGGGAAAAATTACAGCAAAGAATACATCTGCAAGTATTGTAAGTGAACTGAGGCAAAAACAAACAAACAAAAAGGCACCTCATACTTGTATAGACAGAGGAAATGTTAGATGTGCATTAGGGTGCTGGGTCTCTTCACGGTAGCATGAGAAGAGTCCAAATGTGTTATACAGAGCCCATGATACCAAGTGGGTCTGCTCCTGATCTCCCCCTTTCTAGGTACAAGGTATACATATATATGGTAAATGTGTGTGGTATATGCTACACAGTGTAATTATATTTTGTATTATCATAATAATGGCTTCTTTAGAGCCATAATTATAGTCTATAACTAGGTACAGTTATATAATTATAGCTTTACACAGCTAGTGAATGATGAATAACTAATTATAGTTATGTAGCTATAGTCTGTAGACACCTCAGATGATAGACAAAGGGGTTTCAGTGTTTTCCATCACCCATAGCATGTTCCCCTTCCATCAACAATACAAACACAGATATCTTCACCCATTCTTAGCCATTTTAAATAGGTGCATATACACACACATATATATGTATGATAAAAAAAAAAACAGATGCAACTATTTGACACATACGAGAATGAAAATTTGGTAACACAGTGATTTCTGGTTGGATAACTTGTGGATTGAAAGGTCATACAGTTCACTGAAGAATATAATATACTGCACTAGGAATCTATTCTTTATTTCTGTTGCAAACCAGTATTTCTGTGTTTCAGGATAAACTGCAAAAACTCACCTCTAGTAACTCATCAGCAATTTGTAACCTGCCATCTCTGCCAGCTGCTCCATTTGGATCAATTCCCACTATAAAGACACTCATCCTGGATCGGTCTTTGTTACCAGCGAGACTAAGTCCCAGACCTGTCCTTCCTTTTTCCAGCTCAATCATGTGCAGCTCCCCGGGTAGATCTCCATAGCGCTGCATGATCTTTTCTAAATGTAAGAGTGTGGGCAGCAGAGATTGGATTCACATTAGAAAGTTTCCCAAGTCACTTGGAGAGGCAAGGTCAGTCTCCAGTATGAACTATTTAATGACAGAATCTCAAACTGATTGAGAAATTTTAAGTGTACAGCACAGTTTCTTTTCATCTAAGACTTAGGTGATTTATTATAGTATTCCCAGTTACTTCAGCTGCAGAAAATATTTAAGCTTCTCTCAAGAGAAGAAAAAAAAGAAAACTTTATATTAAAGAGCAATATTCCCATTGCAATGGCATTTTCAGATAACAGTGACTCTGAATCACTGAGGAACACAGAAATCAGAGTGAGCTTGTCAGGAGCAAATCAATCTAGTATTTCACTGTGTGCACCTGACCAAGTACAACTAAACACTGACAGCAACACTTAACACCCAAGCCATGAAAAAAAATATGAAAACAAAGTAGTTCAAAGTGGGCACCCCACACCTTCTGCTATAATGCTCTTCCAGGGTTCAACATTTAAAAAAATATAACAAAGGATAAACTTACTCCAGCTGTAACCAAACTCATCCTCTTTCTCCACATCCTCTAGGACTTTGCTGGAAGAAGACTGTGCAACAACACAGCTCATTCCTGAAAATGCTGAAGGAGGGGGCAGAGGCAAGTTACAAAATGAAGTCTTTTCTGGTTCTGAATCTGACTGACTGGATGCCTGTGGAGAATAAGAAAAACGCAGCGGCTAAGCACAAGCAGACTCTGCGCAGGGCAAACTAGTATACAAAAATGTCAGAACAGCAATGACTATGGATTTGAAATTCAAACATCAAGCAACAGGAATTCTAAGTGAAAAACATGGCACAGAAAGGCTGCAAGAGATCAAAGATGGAAACAAACACTAGCCAAGGTAAAAGACCATTTCACTCCAAAGTATACTTTGAAGTAAACAGAACTGACAATGAAAGCCCAATTCAGGAAAGTTTTATGTGCCACTTTGTATCTCAGAAAACATCCCATATGAAGGCTCAAGTAATTTTTATTTAGTATCATATTTACAGAAGAATTTTGTTTTACTTTCAAAAGCCAGCAAATATAATTTCTTTCTGTGAGATACTTTGGAAGCCATGTAGAAGGAAAGGGGAAAGAAAAGAACTAGAAATTTAAAAAACTCCTCCAGTCAAGTAAAAATATTGGAGTATCAACTCAAAGAAAATTTAAATATAAAACAAAATAGATAACTGAAAAAAAACACAGCAATAATACTTTTCCAGTCTTGTTTACTGGTTTTCTATAAGCTGCGTGGGGGATATCACATAAATATACAGATTCAGCCATAAAGGACAAAAAGACATTTGGTCTCGATATGTCTAATTTATTCATGTTCACAAAAAGCCCAAAATATAAACCTATATGAATATTGCAACAGAATAGTTGCCTCCACTCAGCGCAGTTTCATGAGGAATACTGAGGGACCATGACTTGGAAGAAGGATTTGACTAAATGCCATTGATTTGTATTATATTGGCTTGGTCAGCATTGTGAACAAGGATAAACATACAGGCGAGAAACTCACGCCTGAATATCATCATTCTGAAATTTATTCATGCCCAAGAGAATTGGGTACTTGGCAAATCAACTGTTGATGTAAACTACATGACACTTAAGTGAAAAACAGAAACATTTCTTTCAAGGACTAGGATTTTCAGGTATTCCTGGCTGTTTTGTCATCATTTCAGTTTTCAGTACCTCAGTTGGCGTAAGTTTGAACACAGCACCTTAGAGGGCATCTCTGGGAGCCAGAATCACTGTGTCAGTTTCTTTTCCCAAGACAACAGTAAAACGGATAACAACATGCACCCCGGAGGACTTCAAAGCTGGGCTGCAGGTCAGTGTAGCTTCCAAGTGAAGCTTTTGAGAGAACCAGAAACCTACCAATTAAGTGATACTGAGATTTTGGAAAGTTCCCTCCTCCCATATCAGTTTCTGCTTTTGGATGGAAAAGATTTTTCTCATTCAAAAATTTCCTCTAGGAAATTCACTAAGAAGTCCATAAATGCAAAACTCCAAGGGAAGTGTTAAAATGACACCCAAGGCAATGTCTTGCATTAGAAATGCCATGTAAGCGCCATACGAATTTTTGCATTGGTTGTCTCAAGCTTGTCAGTCTGCGCTTCAAATCTCTGGGTCACAGCACTCAGTTGAGATTCCTTATATGACTGAATTTGCACATAAGAATTATTTTACAGTTTATGCAAATTATATTCTAAAATATGTTAATAGTTACAGGATGCATTTTATATAAATCTCAGCTGAGGCAGCAGAATTACAGCAAAAAAAAAAAAAAAAAACATTTTTGCCCATCAGAATCTGAGGAGGACTAAAACACAGTTCAAAACACCTTTTCACTGCCAAAAATGCATGTATCCAACTCAGAGAAATGTCAGAACACCACCTCAAAGAGGTGAGAAAGGGTGAGTTACTTCTAGATATGCAACAGTTTACCAGATTGCTTCCTAGAGGTTTAACTCAGAGCTACACAATGCACAGAAGAAAAATAAGGAAATAAATGCGGGGAATAGAACTTAGTTTATGTGTTTTAAATTCAAAATCAATACATTACTCAAAGTCTGGATTTCTGTAAGGCGTGGACATATAGCTACGTCCTGATAGATAATCCTTTATGAATTATGGTCAGCAAAATTTTATTGATGGAAAAAAAGCTTCCTTCTACATCTCTGCCCAAACACACATAGATTTGCCTGTTTGATGTTTAAAGAAAAGCTGAAATGAAAGTAAAGGCAAGGCTCTTTTGTGAGAAGCAAAGGAAGAGTTTCACTGTACAAGTCAGACATCTGGGACCACGTTCTGCACCCAGAAGTCGGTCTGTGAGGTCTGCGCCTCCCTCAGCAGCGGTCGGCACCCTCTCTTTACACACACATAAGACTTTTCCTCTCTGAATTGGGCCATGCTCAGAAAAAAGAAGTACACCGTTTCAACTTATCAAATACTTCCAATGTGCCATGACATAATATCCCATATTATGGGAATCCATTGGCTGCCAGGCTCACTCTGGTCACAGACAGGGAAATATTTAAAAACGGCAGCAAGTTTGGAGCAGTTCCACTTTCAGCACAGGAGTTACATGTGGGAGAAGGAGCAGTATTTTGGAAGGCATCACACACCATGTACAAGCACACAGCACACACAGGGTATGACCCGCTCCCTGGAATCAAGACAAACCTTGAATGGTGTGGGAGCAAAAGGGTTAGTTGGGGAACAACGGAAGGTAACCCTACTTGGATTCGATACCTCCTACAGTAACAGAAAACAGCAATCCATATATTACAGTACTTTTGACAATAATATAGTGCTAACAAATAACAGTTTAAATTATATTCATTTTACTAATTTCATTTATTCAAGGAATTATTAAGAACTGTGATTCACTGGAATATCTTAATGTATATATATAAATCTTAGTCCACTCCTGCAGAAGAAGTGGGAGAGAAGGCAAAAGGCCATTCTTGTCTGAATTTTTGGAAAACATAATTATGGAGAAACTACAATTAGCATTAGGTTGTCTGTATAAATACGTGAATTGTTTCCAGAAATACTTTCAACAATACAGAAGGTATCATTTATATTACAACTTATGTTACCCTTTTACGTTATTCTCTTTCCTTAGAACTGTAAAAAATATGGATAAGAATTCAAAAACATATATAGGACTATGCAGCACATGTCATAAATGTTCTTTATACATTTGAGACATCTGACATTATGCAACATAGGAAAAACGAGAGAGGGCACAATCACTCCAGAGACGTACAAGCAGCTAGAAGCTTTTGTATTCAGTCAGAAATGCATGCACATAAGAATTCAGCCGTTATTCATAATTGCATTAAAGGTCCATTTCCCAATATGAATAACATGCAGTAAGCATTAACCACAAAAAAAAAAACCTAACATTTTTTTCAGATTTCTAAAGATACCAGCATCCCGTTCATGAGTCATCATAAAACGAAAACTGTCAACTTTTTCTTTTCCCCCATGCAACATAATAGTGATCAGCTGGAAAGTCCTAACCAAATAAAAAGAAAAGAAATACACAGCAGGAAAACATCTCACACTGATGAGAGATCATTTAGGCTCAGGTGGATATTTTAACAGACACCACAGAGACTGATTTTGTAATTGAGCAAATTACCCCTTTAATAGTTCTGATTAGTTCAGTCTGAGTGCATATGATTAGTGTAGCTGGAATTTTTACCTTCTTCAAAACTTTTCTATGATGGTGTATGATCTGTGTCTTTTAAATTCACTACACAGACTTTTCATCCTCATCAGCAGAGTATTTTTTCCAAATTTGGTTCAAAAAAAAAAAAAAAAAGAAGAAGAAAGCACAGAAAGACACAAATTGCAAAGAAGCGCATGTTTGGTGAGTCAAAAGCAGACAGTCTGTCGTCATCAAACCTTGTTAGTGTTGAACTGAGAAGCATCAGCAAATGGGTTAGTGCTGCTGAAGATAGCTGGCCTGCAGAAAAGATTGCTCTGCAGGAAAGCCAGGGAGGGGCTCTAAAAGGAAAACATAATAGAAACTAAGCAAAAACTTCAGATTAAACCTTTGTGACTCACGAAGCAAACCACACTTATTTTGCAGTCTGTGCTAAACAAAAAAGATCCCTTCATGCACTTTGCTACAGACATGGAAACACAGTCAAATGTGCATTTGCTCTGTGGCTCTAGAGCAGAGTAAAGCACTGACCTTCATACCTGTCCTAGCCCACCAACCATAAAGTCCAGAATTCAGTAGTCTGAACAACAGAAAATTTAACTGTTGTGATATTTGCAAAATTTTGTCAATGTACTTCAGCACATGGATCCCTCTTAAATCTTCTTATTAATAACTACAAAACTGTGTAGTTAGAAAATAAACCTATTTCTTAGTGATAATGCAACACAAAGCATGTGTATATAGTTTATAGTTTAATAAAACTCTCTGCTCCTTAAACAGTACAAGGTACTTGCTTAATACTATTGTGTACACCAAACACCAAAAGCTTTTAATATTTAGGAAAAAAGAAAAAGATGGAATTTGAACTTTCATGTTCCTTACGCAGTTTTTGTAATGCACTCTGTTTTAGGATCAGATTTGTTTTGAACAAACTTGTTTACCTGAAAGAAAGATGGAAGAACTCTGATACTGCATAGTAAATTGGAAAGGCTGTCAAAAGAATGGTTAAAAATAATTTCTATAAAGGGTGTGCCCTTCTGGCTATTGTATGATTCTCTCTTTGCTCTTTTTGCTGTACTGTCTCTTAGTGCTGCTGGAATAAGCCTAATAAGGAGAAAGGAACAAAAAAGGCTTGCTACATTAACTAATAAATTTAGATCATGCTAACATAAGCCAGATATATATTGCTGTTTATTTTTATTTATTTATTTACTTATATGCATTCCTGAAAATAGAAGTTTTGGCAAATTTGCAAAATAAAAAAAAATGTAATTATTTAATTTGATAACCAGGTATTGGTTCTTCAGCATCTTAAGTACTGAGGAACTAAAGCTGTAGAGCTGTAGCGTTGTTAACAAGCAAGATTTCTTCACTGACAAGTCACTCAAAGGCAACAGGCAAAGTCTTCCCTATACAAGATTTTCTACTTACGCATGCAATTCACATTCAACGTCTTGTATAAAGACCGTCTTGCGAAAAGTAATTTAAGAGTAAAATGGTCCTATTACACTTTAACCACCACATTTGCCATCTGCATAAAATGTTAAACTGTAACTTGATAAAATGTTATGCAAATAAAAAAAGCATCACAAACATTTTGCATATAAACAGTGAAGTCCTAGTAAAACAGAAAACAGCTCAGCCCACAGTACTTTAAAATCTTTTATGTTTTGACAGGATGTCATAGCACATAAGAGACAACTGCTAGCCCAAATTTCTACCCATGCAACTACATTGTATTAATTGGGACTGCTTAACATCATAAACTACAGTGCACTTCAGTCCACTGACACAGGTATATTTTATTCAGTACACACGAAGCATGTTTTCTTGCACAAACTAGGACAAGCAAAACAAACTAAAGTGTTTTTTTTTCTTATGATCTTTGTAAAGCAAAAAAAAAAAAGGATTTTTTTATTTATTTTTATTTTTTTTTAATGTTGTATTTTTCACAGATGCATTCAGGATGTTCAGGTACCAGAAGCAAGCAAGCATTTGCAAAGCATAATGCTGTAGCTCTACAGATTGTCTGACACCATAACCCCAGTAACAAATTCATTCTTACTTAGAAATAAACAGGGCAGTATCAGAATGAAACACAGCTTTGCTGGGTAACTGCTTGCAAGCAAAAACTACTGAATTATTTTATCATGGCAACACAGCCCATCTGTATTATCCTGGCCATTCTGCTGTATGCTGAGGCCCGCTTTACCTAAGGAGCCTGAATGGAGAGGGAAAAGAAAGAAAAAGAATAAAGATGGGAAGAAAAGAA